GTCGAAGCAATTCCCTGCAATATATTCTCAGTAGTAAGGACATTTCCAGCAGTTTCGACAACTTCCACTTCCCTTCTGTTTGTTGTCTCTGCTCTGTGCTGCTGACTTGCTTGAATTGAAACAGGCATCCGTCAACTGGAGTCCGTTTGGATGACGCCCTCCGCGTGAAACTCCTTAACGGCTACCGCTAGCCTATTGATTCGCACGCGCAAACGTGCCGCTACTATCGTAAACAAGAACAGACGATGTCGCATTTCTCGGATGACAGCTGATCCTCAGATTCGATGGACATGCGGCTTTTCAGAACAGCGATTCCCAGGCGGCCGCCTACTCGATGTCACTTATATGACGGCTGCGGTGGAAAAGCAATTCCACTCTTCCAAGCCGGCGTTCGTTGTTCGACGTTCGTAGGCGGTTTTTGTTGGTCCTCTGGCCTCGATGAGCTTTCGAATGCTGCAAGCACTAGACTGGTACATGTATCCACTGGCGGCGATGAGGCAATACAAACCACAGCCATATTGTTTGTGCAGTGCATCTGTCAACAGTTTCCCCGCTTGGTGGCAAAAACACAACTAGGCAAAAAATTGATGATCATTCATAAAGCAGTTTAATCAATGTTTAATGCAGCTGTTTATAAATTGTAACTTTTCATCACCATTCGCGACGTTAATTTTAATTTACCTATCAAATGAAATGATCTGAAGATTGATTGAAATATCTGTCAGTCGAAATATTTTCATTGTGTAATTAAAATTAAAGTATTGAATGAATAGGGAATTGAATTTCTATTGTTTGCTGTTTCTTTCGGGTCATGAGTGCAGCAGGGAGGTTTCACTAATGGTTCAGGTCTTTCTTCAATGTAGAAATTCTATGGGATGTCTTCCAAAGCTTAAACTAGGTGCTCAACATGGATGTTCATTCGTTGTGAAAAAATACGCGAAGTTCATACTATTTATATTAGCGAAATTTCATTTAATTAACTAAATACGTAAACATGATGTAAAACAAGAGCAAAAGTATCTTTTGTAACAAATGAACATTTAGCTGGTCAAAATTGGATTTTATGTCATATTTCACCGATCTGTTGCTCACTGATTTCTAGAGGTGTATTTAGCCAAGCAACTGATCCTCGACAGTTAAGCATCAGCAGTAGCAGATGCATACACCAGATCATGTGCACCTGCGGGCGTGTTTTGCGAAAGCGTAGAATAAGTAGCACTTTCTGAAACATCGTTGTTGAAGAGCAACCATTGTTTTAATGTATAAAATGATGACTGATGTATCTGTCACTATAGAGTTTCGAACGTCGTCGAATCCTGGCTTGTTTAAATGACCTCCTTCCCATGATAGCGATTGGATGGGGCACTATGTCTTGAGACTTTAAGAATTAAAAGGGGTGCTAACATCCTACGGCATCGAACATATATTTACCATATCTAATATGTTACTATGTTTTTCAACGTCTGTTGTCCTTTCAATTTCTCATGTGCTGCGACAGCAGCGGTCTCGCTGTCATTCAGTCAGATCAATCTGGCTAAACTTCAAGATATGACAGTACCGAGTGCTTTTCCAAAAAGGTGGCTGTGAGCCTTTTCTCTGGCATCCTCATTACGCGCTTGAAGCATTGCAGTTGCGATATCTCGATCCAGGGAAAGAGCAGCTTATCAGTATGTGTTATGCATTTGTTGAGTCGTCCGCAAAACTACGATGCCCGTTGCATTAATTGTTTCGCAACACTTTTGCTACAAGGCACTGGCTACTGCATCGCAGGATGAAGTATTCTCCTCCAAAACCAGCTCTGCCTCTACATTGTTCCTCCATGTTCTATGCTAGCCTCCTTGTCGTGTGTGCCGTGTTTCCGCTATCACATAAAAAGCTTTTAGATTAAGGTAAATTGACTTACGTTAGACCAGTTTATTTGGCAGATCCTACCTCCTTTTCTTAATCTTAGGTCACTTGTGCCCGCTCAGAAGCGACGATAGCTCAGTTTGCCTTATCCTGAAGCTTGTTCAATTTTGAAAGATCAACAGTTCTTCGAAAGAATCTCATTTCTGCCGTTTATGTCTGCAATTGTCAGTATGTGCCACTCATGGCCATATATGCGTAGATGTACGT